CAGGGCCTATCCCCTGAGCACTGGGACAACCACTTTGTGCCTACCTCACTGATCCCAGCAATTCTGTAAGGCAGGGGCTATGATTATCCCCATTTCACAGATGAAGAAACAGAGGTAAGGATGAAGTCTTGCCCAGGCCTCAGAGCTACCAAGTGGTGGAGCTAGGCTTGGAACCAGGTTTGTGGACTCCATAGCCAGCTTTCCTACCCACACAGTCCTTCCTGGCCTCCCTGCCCTCAGCCGCTCTCTCCCCTGCACTCTGCACTGCCTGCAGCTCCAGGCCTATCTCTCTAAAACACACATCTGGTCTTGTCAGTGTCCTGCCGAAAGACAGAGCCTGTGTTATCATGCCTCCCTGCGTCTGCACGTGCTGTTCTTTTTGCCTCGTCACCTTCCCTGTGTCCTGCCTGATGCACGCCTGCCTTCCTTGCTAAGTTGACCTTCTCAGTGAAGCTGGCCGTTCACAGGGAGGGCCCCCTCCCTCCTCCAGCTCCCAGAAGCAGCTGGGGCTGCTTCCATCACAGCCCCCAAGATACAGCATGTCTGGTTCTCTACCCCAGACGGCAAGCTTCTTAAAAGCGGGGTCAGGGCGGTTCCCCCTCTGAATACCCAATAGCCAGGATGGCACCTGGGATACTAAATAGGAATTCAAGGACTTCATTCATTGAACATATTTCCTGAGCATTTCCTCTGTGCCAGCCACTGTGCTGGGGGCTGGAGATAGAGCAGGAGCAAGGTGGGTGCCTGCCCTCCGGGGGCCACAGTGTCTGGGTCTGAGTCTCCCTCCCTCCCTCCTTCCTTCCCTCCTTCGTTCATTCATTCAAATCCCTTCTCGCCCTGTCCCCAGTGGGTATTGGAGGTCCAGCAGTGACTGAGAGATCCCACCTTTCCCTCATGGGGGCTGAGGTGGGTCCATCTTGGGCAGGACTTTGGTCGTTCCTGGAGCTGGGCGGGTCCTCAGGCATCTCTCAGAGATAAGAACAGAGTTCATTCTGGGCTTTTCTGAGGTGGTTTTGGGCATGCCTTTCTGGAGGACTAGGCAGCAGCGGCAGGCTGAGGCTCTGGGGCTGCTGGCCCCAAGACAGGCTGGTTTCACCAGAGAATCCACCTAACACAATAGCTTGATTGTGAGAGGGCTGGCTCCCCCAACCCAGCACGTTAACATGTCTGTGATCAGAATGTGTCTTAAAACTGATGTGTACGTGGAACGGGACATTGTAACATTCTAACTCCCCTCCCAAGGCCGTTATTAAGTCAGTCATACGGCTTATGGTCGTTGTGTGGGAATGTGGTTTTGTCATAGAAACTACCCTCAGAATGAGGTTCTGATGTGACCCATCTATCACCACAAACTCCTAGCTGCTAGTGGCTGAATAACCCTTCTATTTGGGGTGTTTCATATAAATTCGCAGAAAAGAAATGCTATTCAATGGATTGATTCATTCTTGAGATTCCCGCAGTGTGTTTGTCCGGGATGGCAGTGGGCTGGGGTGGAACGGGCCCAGATCTGGGCTTGGATCCTTGCTTTTTGGCCCGCTAGTGGAGAGACCTTGGCAGAGGTGCTGCACCCGCTGACCCTCAGTTCCCTCTTCTGTAAAATGGGGACAGCGCCACGCATCTCACAGTTCCCTCTTAGCGCCACACGCCGCCTCCTTACAGGTCTCCCACTGTTGTGCGTTTGTGTGATTATTAGATTCACTTTCTCCCTCCTCCCACTGGGCTGTGGGCGTCCTGAAGCAGAACGCCTCCCCCATCTGACTGCTCTCAATTGAGACCAGTTTGGACAAAGTGGGCTGTGACTCAGAGAGAGGCCAGAAGCTGAATGTACTTGCCTTGGGCGGGGCTGCTGCCTGTTCTGTTTGTTCTGCTGTAGCTGCCAGTTACGGCTCCCGGATCTCTTCTCCGGAATTGCTAACGTGTGGCCGGTGTAGGCCTTGAAGACCTGAGCTCAGGTTCTGCAGCCCTTGGAGTCTCCAAGTTAGGAACGTGGGAAACACACCAGTGGTATCTCAGGCACATAGATGACTGCTGGCCCGAGGCTCTGCCCCACTGAGCTGGTGCAGAGTTCCATGGAGCTGCCGGGGGCGGCAGCCATACAGAGCACCAGCTGCGCAGGGTTCTGAGCTGACAGCCTGGCTTGGAATCCAGGTCCACCTCTCATTGACTGTGCTACCGCAGGCGTGCTGTGTAGCTGTGCTGAGGCTTGGTTGTAAGAGGGGTGGCGACGAGGCCTGTACTGTCTCAGAGGTAGGCTTCTGTGACATAAGCAGGTAAGCACGTGGCTTTCAGATGGGATGGTGCAGCGTCTCTAGGACACCAACCAAAACAGACTTGACTGCGAGACACCTTGAACAGGGCATTGGAGTGAGGCAGGGAAAGGCGTGGACTTTGGAGCCATACTGACCAGGGTTCACATTCCCACAGAATCACCAACGGTGTGACCTTGGGCAGGCTGCTTAACTTCTCCGAGCCTTTGTTTTCTCATCTGTAAAATGTGATGCTAAAACTGGAACCTGCCTCCTAAGGTTGTAGCGAGGATGAAATGAGATACTGCATGTGCCTTACTTAGCCCAGTGGTACTTAATAAATCACTGTGTGATGGAGAAATGGCTTAGTTGCTCAGCCCATGAAAGTGCAGGAATACCGTGCAGTCCCTTCCTGGGCTATGTGCTTCACACATTTTTGTCTGCCTTTACTGAATAATAATTAAGCTAATTTGTGTTAGGCAGGCCTGTGAGGTCAGTCAGAGTCTCTACTTGGCCCGGGCTGCCCAGAGAGCATAGTGAGCCACCGTGGTTCCCGGGTGGAGCCAGGAAACCTGCAGCTTCCGCAGCCCCAGAGGCCTTGTGCTAGAGAAGCATATATTTAATGTCAGCTTTCCAAATGCTTCCAAGAGTTTTAATGTCAGCTTTCCAAATGCTTCCAAGAGTTCAGGGACCTCTGGGGCCACAGGAGAGAAGCTACTGTCTGGGGCTAAAATGCATCAGTGTTGGCTGGTATGAAATCCACCAGACTTGGCCATCTATCTTGTGGCCAGACTTGGGTGATGGGGGTGGGGTTTGGGGGAGGGGTCCCTGCCTCACCCTCTACAACCCCAGGACAGGCCTGGCATTGGTCCTCCCGCTTTGTGGACCTCCTGCAGCACGGTGGTAGCTTGCTTTCCTCTCTGCTGGTTCTGGTGAGCGGACCAGCAGGCAGGGGAGAAGTGCTGTGTGAGGGGTGGGATGCTCTTACTGTAAGGCTGGTATCAGATGCACCCGAGGTCCTTTTGTCGGTGCATCTGCACTCCTCCTTCGTGTGGACTTCTAGGATCTGGATGCGCTGCAGTTGCCCCAGACATAAAGCCCCCCTCCTCGGGCTCCTGGGAGGATCCCCAGCGTGGGTGGCAGTAGTGGTCATAGCACTGGCTCAGCCTGGTGGGATTTCCTGACAACCCCAGCAGAATGTATCCAGGATAGAGAATCTGGGTCTCTGCTCTTCTCTCTCTGCAATTCTGATTGTTATGGCTCATAATACTCAGTGACTAATGTTTTCTGAGGCTTTGCCACCCACCAGGTACCGTGCTAAGGCCTTCCCGGTCATGATCCCATGCGCTCCTCCTAGAAAGCAATGGAGCATGGCTCAGAGTGCTGGGTTCAAGTGATGGTGCTGGCATTTACTAACCATGTGGCCTTGGGCACAACACTTAACCTCTGTGCCTCAGTTTCCTCACATGTGAAATGGTGATGACTAACAGTACCTGTGTTATAGGGTGGTTGTGAGGACTCTACCTCTTGGTAAGTGCAATGTAAGTGTTAGTTATTACCAAGAGATGGGCATTACTGTTATCCCATTTTACAGATAAGGAAACTGAGGCTTAGAGAGGGTAAATGATCTGCAAGGGTCACTTAGCTCATAAGTAGAAGAGCTAGGATTTGAGCCTAGCTTGTGAGCACTACCTCACTCTGTCTCAATTTGGAAAAATACATGTGGGGAGCATTTGGCCAGCTTCGGAAGTGGCATTCTCAACTTTCCTCAGAGCCCCGGTGAAAGGGGATCCTTTTCTAAGTAACCGAACTGCCCTCTGGGAGCTCTCGTAATCCCACAGCAGAGGCAATAGCTGACCCGTGACACACATATCACAGGAGAAGAAGGGAGGGATCAGTGAAGAATTTCTGTTTGGAAATGTTATCTAACGAGTGCTTTCAAGGGACTCAGAATGCAGAGCCTGCACCGCCCCCCTGCAGGGTGCCGGGGAAGCCTCATCCTCCCCTGTGTCCTGGCCAGGCCACGTACAGCCTGCTGGAGACCTGGGGCTCCGTCCCGTCCCATCCTGTCCCGTCCCGTGTGAGGAGGGACCAGACGTCCCCGGACCCGCCAGGAAACCAGGGCAGCGCTGCGCCCCGAGTCACAGTGGCAGGAACCTCTGGCTGATGTGTCCCTCCCGGCTCTGGACCCCTCTGCCCCTCTCCTCCCCGGCTGAGGGCATGAGTAGAGGCTGCTCAGCGCCAGGGAACTTTCTGAACGAGGGCTCCCGGCTCTCGCAGGACAGCATTTGCTTTTGCGTGTGCCTCAGCAGAGTCTCCAGCCAGGGTGCATAGGAACCCAAAACTGAAAGACAACTTCCGGAGTCCTCGGGCTAGCCCTGCGTCCGTGACTCCATCGGCCCGCTGGCCCCTCAAGGGCACCCATCCACACAAGCTCACGCTCGCGCACACACCCCGGCTGCGGAGCCCTGCCCAGGAGCCGCCTGCCTTCACCCCAAAGGCTCTTTGTCTGAAGGAGAGTGGGGCTTACTGATGGAGCCCTCGAAACCCCAGCCATGACCTCACGCCCCCAGAACGCCACCCCCTGCCCAGGTGTCCACAGGTCCTGTCCCAGCAGATGCCTCGCAGCAGGAGGGCCCAGCTGCGAGCATCCCGTTCCCCGGCTGGAGGGGTCAGGGTTCTTGAACCCAGAGACCCGGAGCCAGCTGCTGCCTCTTGCCCCCGTCCCTCGGTGCCACAGACTCGGGCTCTTACCTCTTCCCTCCTGCCTGGCTCCCGGGGCAGCTCTCACATGCTTCACCTCGGCCGTCAGCGGGGCAGCCTGGCCATGGCCTCCCTGAGTTGCAGGCTGGACCGGCCGCAGAGCAGCCCTGCCTCACTGGCCTCTGCTCTCTCCGCTCTGCCTCCACAGCGGGGGGCTCCGGCCAGGGATGGGGCGGGGGCTGGCCCGGGGTCCCGCCGGGTGGCTCACGACCTGCCTTCTCTCGCGGGGGCCGGCAGCTGCCCCTGTGCCATGCTCTGCAGGTCCGGAGCTCAGGCGGCACTGCTCAGGGCGCGGGGTCCATCCTCAGGCCGTCTGCGGCAGCCTCATTTGAACTCCCAACTCCTTTGTGGAGCCTTTACATGCTGTCGGAGGAAACTGTGAGCACAGCCTGACCCTGGTTGGCTGCAGGCACTTCTCTCCACCCACCAGTGCAAGAGGATCCCCCAGGCCCCAGAAAGGCTCAGGGCCTCCCCTCAGCCCCAGACAGAGGCGGGCCGCCCGGTGATGTCACACTAGCTCCGGCCCCAGCTGGCCTGGCCCCTCCCGCCCCAGCCTGCTTTGGCGGCCTCGTCGGGCCCCCTCCTTCCTTGGCACGAGCAGCCGGGCCAGCTCTGCTCCCTGGCCCAGCTGCTCCCAAAAGCCCGGGCAGCCCCTGGTGCGCTCTGCCGAGGCAGAGAGCTTCCCCTCTGACTCAGGTAATGGGTTTAGATCCGCCCCAGCTGTGCAGGCAGCGTGTTGGTGTGTGGGCTGCAGGGAGCCGGGTCCTCCCCTGGATCGCTGCCTCTTCCAGGCCTGCCCCGCTGAGCCCCAGTTGGGCAGGCAGGGCAGCCCCGCACAGACGGCCTCTCCCCATCAGCCGCCCTTCTTGGAGGCTTCACTCTTACCTCTAAACCCTGGGGAAGGGAGCCCCAGGCTGTCTGCACAGCAGCCAGCGGGATCTGGGCTGTGAAGTTAGGGAGCAGCAGTGGCTTGGGACAGTGGAAGTACCCACCGGCTGGGGTGGGGGCAGCGCTGGGGAAATGCTCCATCACTTCCCACCTGAGGGGCCTTGGTTGAGTCACTGCATCTCTCCGGGCATCCCTCTCATGCATCAGTAAATGAGCTGAAACAAGTAATCTACCTCCAGGGGCTGCGGCGAAGATTCTATGAGGTCATGCAGGAAAGGCCTTGGCGTAGGGCGAGGAGGCCTTAGTGGACTGAACTCAGGACTCTGGCGTCCAGCAGGTCAGGGCTCGCCCTCCCAGAACTTCCGCTGGGACCTCCCGTCCGGCTCCTTGAGGAACACATGATGGGAGTCCATCGGCACCCTCAGCACAGAGCCTGCCTCATGAATGTTTGTGGAGTCAGAGCAAGAGAGGAGACAGCACTGGACCCCACGCAGCGAGCGGCCTACAGGCTCATTGGCACAGGCCGGGGGGAACGGGCCTGCTGAGTGGGCGGAGGTGAGTCCTGGGAAGGAGCAGCCAGGACAGGTTTGTCCTCTGCCTGGACAACAGCCTTGTGCAGTGTTGGTGGTAACTCTCCTTTCCCTTTTAAAACATTTTCAGTGATGATGGTGGTGGTGATGATGATGTTTGGGTGCAAATTGGGAGAGAAACTCTAGTGGGGCTCTCCGCACCGCTAGGCACAGTGTGTCATGTTCCTGGGTCCACCGTGCTCCTCCCCTCCCCAGGATAGCCACCCCTGTCTCTGCAGAAGGAGAGCACCTTTCCTTCTTGCCTCAGCTTCTCCCATCCTGCTCAGACCTTGTCCTCTGGCAAAGGTGTGTTTTGCCAGAAGACCCCAGCATCTTACAGGCCACCACATTAGCCAGACAGCAGGATGGCACAGAAACCTTCCCCCCGTCGACTCCGGGGGTGAAGGTGTTGCCCGCCCTGTGGATTTTCCAGAGGGCCTGGAGGGTCCTGGTGGGGCCATGGCAGGCTGGGGGCTCAAGACCAGGCGGAGCATATGAGAGGGGCCTAACTTCTTCTGAGCTGCACCCTAGACAGCCTGGATGCAGGCATATTCCCTTCTTTCTCTCCCTCCCTCCTTCTCTGTCTCTGTCTCTGTCTCTCTGTCTCTGTCTCTGTCTCTGTCTCTGTCTCTCTGTCTCTCTCTCTCTCTCTCTCTCTGACCCTCTTTTCCAGGATGTATTTTTTGGGAACCTGCTCTGAGCCAGCACCAGGAAGGCAGAGTCCCTGTTCTCACAGAGCTCGCAGGCCGGAGGGGAGACAGACAGACAGACTTGGGCACCTGAGAAGTGCCAGGCACAGGGAGTATCTAAGCAGGATGTCTGATTAAGCAGTCAGGGCAGGCCCCTGACAGAGTGGTGCTTCAGCTGAAACCTGGAGGATGGGTCAGAGTTAGCAGGTGGTGAGGTTAGAGGGAGGGTGGCCTGGGCGGAGAGAATAGCGCATGAAGTGGCCCCAACAATATCTCCCCGCCACAGTGAGACCTTGACACTCCTCCCAACGAGAGGTAGGATCTCTGCCCCCTCCCCTTGAATCTGGGTGGTTTCTGACTTGCTTGTAACCAGTAGAATGCAGTGGGAGTGACACTACCTGACTGCCAAGACTGGGTGAAAGAAGGCAGTGCAGCTTCTGCCTTGTTTACTGGCACACTCTGTGTTGGCGCCATGAGCCAAGCTGGACCCCAAGAAGTCCAGCTACCCGGAAGCTGCCATGTGAAGACTGCATGTACCATGGGTCCCAGCTGGCAGCTGGCATCAACCCCAGACATGGGAGGAAAGAGGCCCCTCGCCATTGAGTCATCCCCAGCTATAGTGTCTTCCTGCTGAGGCCCCAGACATCAGGCAGCAGAGATAAGCCATCCTAGTGTTCCGTGTCTGAATTCCTGACCCACAGAACCCATGAGGTTAAGGAAATGGTTATTTTAGGCCGCAAAGTTTTGGTGGTAATTTGTTACGCTGCAGTAGTAACAGGAGCAGACCCTGAGGCAAGGGCAACTGTGAATTCTTCCAGGAGCTGAGAGGAGTGCGGTGTGAGGAGAGAAGGGGAGCGTGGCAGAGGATGAGGCCTTGTCAGAGGGGGGACTTCATCCCGAGGGCAGTCAGGAAGCACCGCAAGGTTCTGAGGAGGACAGGGTTCCGGCTTGCTTTTGTTTTTAAGAGGGCCACGCTGGTGTTGACTGGATTGACAGGTGCTGCGGCCGAGGCATCAGAGCTGCTGGGAGTTGGTTGCAGCTGTCTTGGTGAGAGAGGTGATTGGAAGCGGTGGGACCCCCTGGGGCAAGAAGCATTCCCAGGACATCCCCCCTGCTCTGGGAATAGGTGCAGCCCAAGTCCCTTGGTTGCTAAACAGATTTGCTTTCACAATTCCAAGTTCCTGGGATCCCACCAAGTGGGAAAGGAGCAACAGGGTGGCCGTGCCCTGCCCATCTTTCCTCACCCCCTGCCCTGTTGGTGGCCTTGGGCAATCAAGCACACCCCTGGGGAGCCTGAGCTGGGCAGTCAAATTCTGGTTCTACCGCCAGTAGCCCTGAGCCTCACTTTCCTCCTGTGGAAAATGAAGATGATGTAAGGATTTACCCCACAGGGCTGTTGTGAAAATTAAATAAGATGTGACACGTTAAGTGTAACACACATGGTAAGTGCTCAGTAATGTTGGCTCTGGTCGTTTTAGTTGCCCGGAAGTCCCCTGAGCACAGGGGCACGTGTGGCGTGGGCCGTGTGGAGCTCTCCTTTTATCCAGCCCAGCACCGCCGAGTGAATAGGCTGGCAGGGGAGGGTAAAGAGCTGTGGCTCAGAGGCTGACGAACCTGTGCTCAAATCCCAGCTCTGTCACTAACCTGGGCAACTTTCCAATTCTCTCTCAAACTTTGTTTCCTCATGTTAAAAAAGGCAATGATAATACTGACTCCTAGGGGTTAGTGTGAGGATTAAGATAACATACCTAACGTGCTTAGCACAACGCCTGGCACTCAGCATTGCTCAGGAAGTTGCTGCCGCTTCTCCCTGCCCCCAGGCTCCTCCCCACTCGTACCCAGAACATCCTCGTCAAGCCTCCACCTTGATGGCTCCCAGATCTTGGAATCCTCCTGACCTCAGTGAGCACCATCTCTGCATTTCCACCTGCCCGTTGGACCGGTGTCATGTGACTAAAGCATTTGAGGAAAAGGGAATCTTTCTTTTTCTTTTTATAGTTTTTACCAGAATGAAAAAGATGTGTGATGTTTACATGGTGGCAGAATACAAAGAATCTTCATTATGTCCCACGGTTTGTATAAATTTCATGTGTTTTCCTAGTTATCACCTTCCTGACAGTTACAGGTTTGTTTGTTTGTTTCCTGTTGGGAATGTTGGGATGTTCTACTGAGATAACTGTGTATGAGGGGTGGGGGCTGAGGCGGGGAGAAGTGCACGAATAATGTGTGTTACGTAGACAGGGGTGCTTGGGAGGGGGTTTTGCTGTATCTCGCAACCTCAGAGTCTTAGCAGCATTTCAGGCTTCACATTTCCAAGCTGATTTTTTCCTTTCGGCACTTTTGAAACGCATTTCCATTGTCTCCTGGCTTACACTGTTTCTAATGAGCAGTCAGCTCTCTTCCTTGTAGTTGTTCCTGTGTACGTGGTGGGTCTCTTCCCCTCTGACTTCTTTTAAGATTTCTCTCTATCTTTGGTTTTCAGTAATTTGACGATGATGTGACCTAGGTTTAATTTTCTTCGTATTTATTCTGTATGGGATTCACTGAGCTTCTTAGATCTGTGGGTTGATATTTTTCACTAAATTTGGGAATGTGTTGGCGGGGGAGGTTGGGGGCCATTATTCCTTTAAATATTTCTTCTGCACAATTCTCTCTCCCTTCCCCTTCTGGAACTCCACTTACACAGTTGGCGTTGTCCCACACACAGGTCACTGAAGCACCATTTATTTATCTTTATCTTTAAAAAAAAAAATCTCTGTGCTTGTTTGGATCGTTTCTATTACCTGGCTTCAAGTTTGCTCATCCTTTATTCTATAGTATTTAATCTGCTGTTAATTTTATACAAATTATGTTTTATGTCAGGTGCTGTACCCTTTTGGTTTTAGAATTGCCACTTAGTCTATTTTTATGTGTCCCATTTCTCCTCTGAGATTCCCTATCCATGCGTTCATTCTGTGCTTCATGTCGTGAAAACCCTGTACGTATTTATAACATGTACACATTTTCAAGTCCTTCTTTACTAATTCCAACATCTGGGTCATCGGTGGGTCTAATTTTATTATTTCTCTTGATCGTGGGTCACATTTTCTTGCTTCTTCACATGCCTATAATTTTTAAGTTATATGCTGGACGTTTTGGATGCTACGTTGAAAAGACTCAGTATTTTATTGTCTTCCTCTCAAGAATGTTGTGTTTTGTTCTGGCAGGCAGTTAAATTACTGGCATATTCCCTTGATCTTGTGGAGGCTTGGTTTTTAGGTTTTGTTCAGGTAGGTTTATTTTGGTTTTGCCCTTAATCCTAGAGTATAACCCTTAATCCTGGGTTCACTTGTAA